ATAAAAACAAGATTGCTCAACATGCGTTTGCATCCTCCATTTATAATTATAACAGCATACAGTATAAACTTTAAAACAGGCTGGATGATTGATAACAGTGTTTGAATAACACAGAAACACTCCAATAATAGACTGTGTAGAAGTCAGGTGCTGCCATAAATGTTTAAGTTGAATCAAATTGGCTGTACAACCTAAATTATATTAAACTTAAATGTGAATTTTTTTAAATTTTGATAACAAAAATATATGTTGTCATGACTTATCATATAGTTGTTTTTGCAGTATAATGAAAGTCATTGTATTCTAATACATTAAACATGAGAAAACAGCAGTGTTTTTTTCTCGGGTCGCGGGGTCACAGGTCACCCGACACCCGTCTGTTTGCTCACAAGGGTCTGCAGGAGATGAGCAGGAACACAACCCACCGCAGATGATGCAGATAGTGAGCTGACCGTTTCACTTCAGTCTGAGGTCACAGAGGTCACGGTCTGACCCCAGACCACCACACAACACATCAGGAGTTTGGTGTTTGAGAAAGACGCAAAAGCTCAATGTCTAGAGCTTTACTAAAGTGCTTTGGTCGCGCGAGTTCCCCAGGGCTGTGTTTCCCAAAAGCATCGCAAGCCTAAGCTGATCATAGCTTCAATGGTCTACGATGTACTTAAGCTTACGATGCTTTTGGGAAAACAGCCCAGGTCTGTCCGAGGGTCACGGGTCACCTGACGGTCAAAGCTCAGGCCTGTCACGCGGCTGATGGATCTGATCGTCTAAACCCTGAGCAAACGCCTCGCATCACTGCGCACCAGCATCCAGGTAAAAGACGCGGTTTATTTGGCTGATGGGAACGTCTCGGAGTCTGGGAATCACTCCTTCCTGATCCTCGTCCGCACGCTGACTCTTGGCGTAGTGATCTATACCACACATAATGAACGAGAAAGCATTTGATATAACAATGCAAGACGTTTAAAATCAATTGAAATGTTGGTAAAAGCAAGCGAGAGCAGAAGTGTCATTATAAGCCTGTCACCTGTGATGTTGTGGACGGATGCGAGCGGAGCCGTGTTCATCAGGTTCACCCCAAACAGCAGCACTACACAGGTGCTTAAAGTGACCAGCAGGTGGATGGGTGCCGCCAGAGCCCAGTATCTGAAACACACGTGTGTGGGACATCAGCCTCGCCTCAGCAACACAGCAACACATGACATATATCAGATGCACTCACTTCTGAGGCCAGTAAGTCAGTCCGGCGGAGTGAAGCCAAGCGTCAGGAACCACAGCCCAGACCACATACAGAACTGATGACAGCAATAACACACTTTAACACAATACAGCCACAAACAACGCTTTATTAAATCAAGGATTCAAAACTTTCACGTCTTTTAGCCAGAAATTAATATATACATATTTTATGTGTACTGTATATACGTGTGTGTGTATATAAACAGTGTTGGGGAGTAACTAGTTACATGTGACGGAGTTACATCATTTAATTACAAAATAAATGTAATTGTAATTCGTTAGTTACTGAGAAATAATGTGTAATTAAATTAGTTACTTCTAAAAGTCTGACAGTAATCAGTGTTGAGTTCTACTGTAATGTTAACCCTGTCTGCTTTACATGTTTGAAAATGATTAACAGTTGAAAACATTCATTAGAAATTTAGAAAAGCAATCAAAAATGTAAATGTTACATCAAATCAGTTACATTACTTTAATAGAGTAATTAAAATAGTTACACTTCTTGTTACATTTCAAATAGGGTAACTTGTAATCTGTAACCTGATACATTTCCAAAGTAACCTTCCCAACACTGTATACATGTGACAGTTAAACAGTTCATTCCAATTCCGAGTAATAGAGATGTTTGAGTTTGATCAGCAGATGATGGAGAGACGTACGGAACCCTAGCTGCGAGCCCAGAAACAGCACGAAGCCGTAGATCGCTCTCTCTGGCAGAGGAGACGGAGAGTTCTCCACCATCATCAGCACTCAGCTCGAGCAACCTGACAGAACTCAAGCAATCAGATTAGAAATAACTCCGAAATCTCTCTTCTCTGCTGCGTTTCCTTGTTCTTCTGCGCAGGCGCGCTGCGTAATGCTGAATGCTGCCCCCGCGCGGCCTGGAGACACACACACACACACACACACACACACACACACTCTCTCTGTCTCACACACACACACACACACTCTCACACACACATCTCACCACCTTTCTGATGACCATCAACAGCCACTCATCAGCTCATCAATCAGCCCTGCATTAAAGCATTAATGTTGAGTTTTATTAGTATTCAGGTTTAAGTCCCCACCAGGTTATATAAACCAGTACACACTCACACACACACACACACACACACACACACACACAGACACACACACGTTTACTTAGCTATCTAAATGGGAACATTACATAGTCTTCTATTATTTTAATGTCAGAAGAAATCAGAAATCAGAAGAGCTTTATTGCCAAGTATGTTTAAACACTTGGAAGGAATTAGAGCTGACGACAGGAGCTTCCAGAGCAGAAGAAAGTACAGACCTACTGCAGACATACAACACAGTAGAGATGGAATATAGCCTAACACTAATAAGAAAAACAGAAAATGTAATAACTTAATATAATACAGGAGTAGAAATATAGAGAAAAAACATATATAATTGTTTTACTTGTTTGTTTGTTTTTTACAGTCATTAGCACATTTTTCAAAACTCTTCACACAGTTCTAACCAAATTTCATCTTGGAACAGCAGTTCATTTCACATTCAAACTGCACTTAAACTAGCAAAACACTTCGTTAATGTCTCATTAACTCATTCTGCCATAACACCAGCAAAGCTTTCACCAAACACACACTCTGTCACTCAACACAACCTGAAGACACTAACAAGAGAGCATTGTGACAGCCAGCAGAGGGCACTTTGTGTTCCCATCAGCCCTTTCATCACCTTCAGCTGTGTGTCTTCAGCTTGCTAGCTCATCCTGATACATACCCAGCTCTCTCTGTGTTCTGTTGCTGGATTCTTGTCTTCTGCTCTCTGTTTTTGTGGATTACCTCTGGCATGTTTTTCTGCTTTTGTCCCGATGTGAATTACTGTTTTTGGACTCTTTAATAAAAGCTGCAATGGGATCTTCTTGTTTGAGAGCATTTCGTGACAAGCATTATACATTGTTTGCTTTTGTACAATTTCTTTACAGAACAAGAATTACACTATTTATTGCTTATAGTTCACTGCAATATGTTACGTAGTTCATGTTTGCATTACAGTACAGAAATTTCCCTCTTTTGTATGGTAATGAAAGTATTTATGGTAATTCAGAATATTTCAATATGGTATTACTGTAAAAATGCAGCAAATTTCTGTCTTATTGATTTTTGTGTTATGTTAGGTTTTGAACTTAGGCTTAACAGTTTTGTAAAGAGTGTAAACAGGTGCAAACTGGCTTGTAGGTGCATAGAGTTTTGCTGATGTTTTTGTCTGAGTGAGAAAAGAATTTGTCATTTGAATGATGTAGTTATTGAATGCACTTTGTTCCAACAAAGGTGTTTAGGGCCTCTCATCTACATGACCAGTTTACATTTAAAGCATTTACCTTATTCTTCATCCTCATCAACATTAGAAAATAATGTAGAATATTGACTGAAACCTCTAGCTGGGAAAAAGTACTTCATATCTGGATGTTTTGGGAAAGTTGCTGATTAGACCTTGGGTTTGAACAACTCAGCCTTGAAGAAGCTATATATTCTCGCTCTCTGTGTGAGAGTGTGTGTGTGTGTGTGTGTGAGAGTGAGTGTGTGTCTGTGTGTGAGTGTGTGTGTGTGTGTGTGTGTG